CACATGCTAGGTATAGAAATTAATATTCTTCAAAAAAAAACCTAGAATATCATAAAAAACATTAATATTAAATATTTCCAATGGAAAGAAGATGATTAAAAAAAAGCAATTAGATCAAAACGATTAAATGCATTTAAATTACCATTCCATTAAAATTTGATCCAGGGTTATATATACTTTTAGGGGTGAACGGACTGAAAATTCGGCAGAAAAGGCTTTTATTTTCGAAATAATAGAATTAGGGGCTGTAGAGAGGGAGAAGAACGAAATTCACTATGATCCGATCTCTCCTAAAACAGAGAACCTGTCACCAGGTCATCCATCTTCTAGGACCTCCTAGAACCATATCCATCAACCACCAATATTCTCTGCTTATTTTGTATTCCGCTTTCTGCCAAAGAAAGGCAAATTGTGTTTCAAAATTCGGTTTCTGTCCAGAGTTACCTCGAAACTATAACCAATTGGCAGAAACTCGAACATTTTGGAGGAAACTGATAGCTATGATCTGATTATCGAATTAATAATATATATGGGGGTTACAAATTTGACTGGTACCCCGTTTTGATACAGTCCAATTGTAAGGAAAAAACCTACTATTGTCCGGGCCATATAAGAGAGGATCCTACATAACCCTGGATTGGCCCGAACAACACCATGTTTTATCCTTACAATAGTAGAGAAACGCTACCAGACCCCACGATAAGGCAGGCAGCGTTTCTCTACTATTGTAAGGATAAAACATGGTGTTGTTCGGGCCAATCCAGGGTTATGTAGGATCCTCTCTTATATGGCCCGGACAATACTAGGTTTTATCCTTACAATTGGACTGTATCAAAACGGGGTACCAGTCAAATTTGTAACCCCCATATATATACAGATATTTTTCTTCATATTTTGGTCATTCTTGGAAACGTATTTGATCATTTCAATATTATTTGAATTCATGATTTTTCATAACTTTAACATACGGTTTATGATAGATGGATGTTAGCAAAATTATTGGTCATAGACGAGAGAAATAATGAGTATAACATCTGGTTAATGGTAGTTTGTTAAACATGACTATGACTTTGTGAGAAACAATGACTTTTCTTTTTTTTATATTTAAATAAATTCTTCTGATCTATTGACATTTCTATTTCATTATTCTACTGTCAATGGCTTCTAACCTTGCAATTTGTATGTGTTTATTAATAATTATCTGTTGTTCTTCAATATTACAAGTTAACACAATGCCTACTATGACTTCAACTACTACAAGCAGCACCCAGAACATCTTTTTATTTCATCATAAACATCATCAAATACCAAACAAACTACATTCCAACTTAATCAAAAAGCTTTCATCAATGTCTTCGAAAGATATTCGACAACGGAGTGTACTACTGCCACGTATATGTTACTTTTCACGTGTTAGAAAATCTGGTTTATCTCGAAAATTGTGTTTTCCCTATGGTGATGAAAGTCGACTTTAATCAACAAGTCAAAAGACACAGAATATGTTTGCACCATTGTTTTTTGTTGTTTTTCTAATTCGATCTGTTGGTTCGTAGTAGAACTTTTCTAACAAAATGTGTTTTCAATAAATGTTTTTCATGATTAAATGATAACCTCTACAGAATCAAAATATAAAATATAATTTAGTTGTTCTTGTTATTCACTAGAAGATTATTTTATTCTATCTATTATAGGATACATTACAACATTTTTTCTTTTGTATGTAATTTTGTTCTTAGCAATACTTCTCATGAGATCAGTACTGGTTTCTCCACAACATATTTTCATCATCTTCAGTTGAAGTCAAGCTATCCTTTTATTATTTTGTTAAACTTAATTCTTTTTTACTATTTCTTTCAGACAGTTGAGAAAATTTAACCTAAGGATTTGTGCATCGACTTCACTGGTTTTCAGATGATGCAGTTTGAGAGTAATACAGCAATAAGAAAAGGTTTTATTGTAGACTATAGCATCCAAATCAATTGATTCATACACGTGTTCATTACTGATAGTCCGTTTAAATTTCAAAACTAGCTATAAAGATATGGTCTTGTGATCTGAGTAGATCAATCGATGACTAATCTTTTGACAAAAAAAAAACAAGGTTTTATCATGTTCCTGAATAGAGTCACATACAAAAGAAAAAATATCGCACAACTTTGACTACGCGCCTTATTCTAAGAAGACGTTATCGATGTATGGCGTATGATCGTATATCAACAACATTTGTTACAGTCTATATGGGAGAAAGTTCAAATTTTTATCTCTATACTTTTTGATTGTGTTTCACAAAATAATATCTTGGACACATTATATAATGAAAGCAAATAAATTTATTTTTCTCATTGGCAAAGAGAATTTATTCAAGTATGACATTAACATGAATTTAAATTAAAGAATAAAATAAAAGTGATATAATTTCTAACTTTTTACATGTAAAAAAGTTAGACACAGGTTGATTGTGAATTCTTGACTGTTTTCTTCCGAGCTATTTTTTTAAATTAAAGATGTTTGTATATACTTATTAATTAATATGAATCAATGGATAACTAATAACAAGTATGTAATTCCAAAATGTTGAATAAATATTTCTTAATTAGGTCAACGAGATACTTCTCTCACATACAGTGTACTTAATTTAACATGCATGAAATCTTAAATTTGCAATATTCTCTATAAATTTCTCGATTTATACCTATCGATAGATCGACCGAAAATCATATCAAAACATTCTTTCAAATTTCGTAATAATTATTTTCACCTGTAAGAATGAAACTTTATTGTAATTACAATCAAGACGATTCGATATGAAATTCATGTGGTATTAAACAGTATACAATGGTGCATTGACAAATATAGGCTAGCTATGATTTTTCATGCTAATAATTAGTTATTAATAAAAGTTACCGTTAGTAAATTTAATTTTCATAACAGCTGACGAGCAGTAAGTTGACGTGGAATGGTTATATTCTACTGAAAAATATAGATCTATTTTATAATTCATGCTGGTTTTTCTCTCGTTTTTAAATTTTAATTTACTAAATTTGTGACTTTCAGAAGTCATTGATAGTAAAAGAAGGTTAAATTTCAACTACGAACGATTAAATCAAATTTATATTCTTGTATTCTATCTGAATTAAAAAATTTATTTTATTAACTTTTTCATGCATGACCATGAAAAAGACGAATCAATTATCTGTTGATTTTTATTCTTTGTAAAGATAATAACAGTGCGAACTGTAATTCATAATAAAGTTAGGATATATTACGGAATTAATGACTAAGAGAGTTTTACTTTACGAATATCAGCATGATTTGAATAATGCTTTAAACTGATCGCTTGATTTTCTCTCTGATTCATTATCGATCATCAATTATATTCACAAGTATCTTAGATATAAGCAAAAAAAGTGGCAGTTAACTTTTGTTACTGTCTTCATTTTAATAAATAATTCAAATCTACAAAAACTTGTATTTTTGAATAAACTTCTTTAGAAAAAAATGGAGAGTCATATTACGACAAGCATATACCAATTCCTACAACATGAAGTCATTGATGACATGTTTTCCATATTAAGAATGTAGTTTCTGTGGGTTGTCTAGATCAATCATGGCTAGTTTCTTTTTGCTCTATTCGAAGCTATAGTCGAAATACACGAAACAGAAAACAAAGGTTTCAAAATTGATGAAAAATTTGTTTTTTCTTTAGTTTTTCGGTCGATTTCAGCAGATTTTGAAACGTGTGATCTACATTAAAGAAATTTAAGAAAAAATTCGGGAAGAGCATTCCAAATTACACACAACTAACATGAAGAATGGCTAGGAATCCGGTATTTCTCAACATTCAAAATATTCTAAAATTCGATTAGAAATTCGAAGAATTAGTTTGTTTTTTACATACAAAAACATATGCCTCGTATTGAGAATTACTGAGCTTCTAGCGATTCTTTACATCGGTTGTGTTCAATTTAGAACGCCCTATTCGGACCTATGTTCAATTTTGTTTGATGCAAAACACATAATTACTCCTACAATATTGATCATCTTTTTTTAATTCATGTTTATTAATCTAATAATATGAAAGCATAGTTTTGTACATCTCAATCTTTGAACATCGTTTTCATTTAATGAGACTTATCAACGATGTCAACCGCTCGTTCGATTCTATCTTAGAGTAGCTTGCAATAAATGTAATAAAAGAAACATTATCCTACAATGCTTAATGGAACGTATTAATTAGAAAGAGATTAGTGAATATAGTCTGTCGACATCACTAAGTGTTAATCCTATCATAATCAATGAATGTATCTCTTCGATAACAGACTACAACTAAACAAAAGAAAATAATTTAAATTTCAAAAATGACTAAACTATTCAATCAAATAAACTATTGGAACGTTTTGAACCAAATGAAGATAATTGTTTGCCAAGTGTCGTTATCGTTTAAATCGAAAAGACGCTTACATTTGTAAAGTAAACTAGAAAAAAGAATCTCATCTCAAGGGTGTTATTGATTCTTTGTTCTTGATAAAAAAAATATTCACTATGTCTCTCTTTTTCCGAAAATCTTTTTCTTTTAGTATGTTAATTATTACTCGAGGGGGAAAAGGAACCAATATTGGTGATCAAACAAGAGTTACTAGAGAACTATTCTTTTGTAAACACACGTAAAATAAAATTAACATTGACATCAATGAAGTTATCAAAAAAATTTTCTTTAACTCCTTCCCATTTTTGATAGAAAATAGAAAAGAATGAATATATTACTTTCCGTTACTTCTGTAAACAATATTTTTTTTATATAAGAACATCAAATCATCGCAAGTCATTTCCGTGCTTAAATAATTTATCAATCGATCATTGATTTTTATAATTTACATATAAAATTTGATCACATTCAAAAACAGCAATATCATACTTATTTACGCAGAAAAAAAGTCTAACATCTACTTGTGAAATTCACATCAACATATAAAGTACTATTATATTATATTAAATTAAGAATGAGAGCCATGACAAATACGACGAATAATCATGTGGTTCCAGTTATTTCGATGGCAAAAGAAGCAAAGAAATTAGAATCATCTAATCATCAACCTCGTTCTATAGTTCGAGAATTTGCTTTGAATACATCCACTCATGGTTTACCTGGTATTGCACGAAGTCAAAGTAAACATAATTGTATTTTCTGGACAGTTTCATTTTTTATTTTTACTGGCATTATGATTTATTCTGTTACTCAAACGATTAAAAATTATTTTGAATATCCAACACAAACATCTGTATCAATTTTTGTTGAACGATCACAAGTATTTCCTGCAGTTACATTTTGTAATTATTCACCAGTTCGTTATGATCATTTAATTGGACCTTTTTTAAATTATACAAATTCCATTAATGCAACAAATACGAATGATACAACTACATTTACTGCGGAACAGACTCTTCTTCTTCGTGATTTTTTACAAGTTCAGCTAAATACAGGTGCACCTATCACTCAGTATTTTTTTTCTCTCGATACTATGTTAATCGAATGTGTCTACAATGACAAAACCTGTACAACTAATGATTTTATCTCATTTTTGTCTTCTACCTACGGTCAATGCTTTACATTTAATGCTAAAACAAAAACAACAAATGGAAGTGATCTTCGATATACAAATGATGATGGAGGATCAGGAAAACTTATTCTACGTCTTTATGCACAAAGTCATCTATATGTTCCATATGCTTCAGAAGGTTTGTTTCCATAGCATATCTCATAATATGTTTCTTCTTTTTTTTCCGTTAAAATAGACGTGTCAGTAGGAATGATTGCTATGATTCATGACAATACACAATTACCACTTATTGATGTAGCTGGCACTCTGCTTGCACCTGGACGAAGACATAGACTTGGTTACAAGAAAAAGACTAATCAATTCTTATCATCACCATATACAGATTGTACAACAAAGATACCACTTGCTATGCAAGCAATGTTTAATGAATATGAAGGTGCTGATTATGCATATTCACAAGGTGTTTGTTATACACTTTGCATACAGGCATACATGTAAGTATAATTAGTTCACAATTCATGGTTGTACGGTGTAAGTTAGGAAGATTGATGATATTGTAGTTAAGTGTATGTCCTCGCTAGCAAACTAAGTATTTCAAAATATGAACTGCCCATAACATGCATGAACTGATATAATGGAATTTCAAGATATGGACTGTCAATGTCATGTAACCACACTTCAAAAATTCACCAACATCTATTTTTCTTCTTTAGTTATGGTTTAATAGAACTGAACGAATTGGCATGAGAAAAATAAATATTTGACATATTCGAAAGCAATTTTACGACAGTCAGAATTTTTTGTATATCACTTTTATATTTTACAGTATTGGTATCAGGTTGCCCGAAAAGTTCGTGCAACTGGTGATCCAGTACTGTGTTTGTGGATCATGTCACTTACATCATCATTTAGAGTGTACATTTTTATTATATATCACTCCAGCCAGCTTCTGCCATTTCATTCTTTCTAGACGACGAACAGACTTTCACTATCTTGTGAGATCATGAGTTGGACATATAGAAAATCGAGCATTCATAAAGGTTTTTATTCAAAATTGGTTGATTCGTAGTGAGACTTACGAGATACTGGCACATACGAATGACGAATCTTCTTCAATGTCCCAGACATACAGATTGATTGATGATTTCGGTACAATGCAGCTTTTTTCGAATAAAAAAGCTTCATAAATCCATGATACTCAACATGTCTGAATCATTCTCATACGCGACATTTCAAAACATTCGTTTTTTTCCAGACAGAATGAAACAATCGAAGCGGAC